CGGGCGGGCTGGGCGGCTTGGGGTGGCGGGGCCGGAAGGCGCGTGTGGAAGGCGCAGCTGCTTTCGGACCACCACCATTGACTCCATATGGGAAGCAGGGCAGCCTAAAAACTGTGCATGTTCTTGCCAAACCTGGGCCGCAGGCAGCGCGCGTGCGCACCTGCAGGCGTGGGTGGCTGCGGCCGCCGTCGTCACGCGCGCCGCCAAGGCCTGGCTCTTCCGCCGCGCGGTGGCACGCATGCTGGAGGAGACGCGCGCCTCCGCCGGTGCGGCGGTGACGCTGCAGTCCGCGTGGCGGGGGCGCGCGGCGCGGGCCGGGCTGGCGCGAGCGCTGGAGAGGCGTCAGGCGGCGGCGGCGTGCATCCAGGTATGATGCTGCAGCCGTGGGCCTGTGGAGGACGTGTGAGACATGGCAGGGGCCCCGCTCTGGCCGCGGGGTGCTGTGCGGTCCAGCTGGGCGCCGCCGCTGCTGCTGCCACAGCAGCGGCGGAGGCGAAGGAAAAGACCTCCCAGCCACAACCACAGTGATGACTCTTCCTAAACCCCAAACACCCGCTGCGCACAACATCGTGCAGCGCAACTGGCGCGCCGCGCGCATCGGCGGCCGGCGCGCCCGTGCGGCGGCGTCCATCCAGGCGGGCTGGAGGGGCCACCGCGCCAGGCGGACGGCGGACGCCATGCGCAGGTGCGCCCGCAGGGACGGCTGTGGTAGCTGTCGCTGTATATATAATACGATGCAGCCCCGCTGCGCTAAGAGCCGCCTTTGCTTTGCCTGTGTTTGCTGGCATCGAGGTCAATCGAGGCAGCACACTGCTGATTCCTCAGCCAGCTGAATGCGCCACTGCAAATTCACATATGTTGCCGCCGTCTCGCAGGGAGGCGGCGCGCCGCGCGCGCGCCGCGACGGCCGCCCAGGCCATCCGGCGCGGCGCCGCCGCGCGCCGCGACTTCGCGCGTGCCCGCGCAGCCGCGCTGTGCGTGCAGTCACTCGCACGCGGGGCGCTGGCGGCGCGGGACCTCCGGGCGCGGCGGGAGGCAGAGGCGGCGCGGCGGCGGGCGGCGGCGGCGCTGGCCATACAGAGCGCCTGGAGGGGCCACCAGCAGAGGGAGAGGTGCGCGGCCGCTAAACTCCAGTATGCTGTTTCACCTCTCCTTGGGGTTTGGAGGCGGCTGCTGGGACTGCTTGCACAAACGATGACATGGGCTTCCACTTGCCACAAATTCGCTGCCGTTTGCCAGCATCAACACACATTTTTTTATCCCTGAGCTGCTGTCAACACATTGACCACCCCGCCCCCTTCCCGCCGCGGCCGCAGGTTCCTCGCCGACCGCGGCGCCATCATCCGCGCCCAGGCCCTCGCGCGCGCCGCCCTCGCGCGCCGCGCCCTTGCCGCGCGCCACGCCGCCGCGGCGCGCATCCAGGCGGCGTGGCGGGGCCACGCGGTGCGGCAGGTGCTGCGTGCCAGCGCGGGCTTCGCAACCTGGCTGCAGGCCTGCTACAGATGCAGCCGCCTGCGCGTCCGCTTCCTGCGGCTGCGCGCCGCCGCGGTCACGGCGCAGTCCGCGCGCCGCGGCGCGGTCGAGCGGCGCGCGCACCTCAAGAGGCGCGCGGCGGCGGTGGCGCTGCAGGCGGGGTGGCGCGGGTGCGCGGCGCGGCGGTCCTTTGGGAGGGTGCGCGGCGCGGCCGTCGCCATCCAGGCGGGCTGGCGGCGCCACGCGGCCCAGGTGCAGCTGCAGGAGGCGCGTGCCGCGGCGGTTGCGCTGCAGGCCGGGTGGCGCATGTTTGCCGCGTCGAGGGCACTGTCGGAGCAGCGGCAAGCGGCGCTCAGGCTGCAGGGCGCGTGGCGGTGCAGGGACGCGGCGCAGCAGCTGGCGCGGCACAGGGCGGCGGCCAGGGTGCAGGCGCAGTGGCGTGGGCACCAGGCGCGCGCAGCGCTCGTGGAAGCGCGCGGGGCTGCGACCTGCATTCAGGCCGGCTGGCGGCGGCGCGCGCAGCGCAGCAGCTACAACAATTCGCGGCAGGCGGCGGTGGCGCTGCAGGCCGCCGCGCGGGGCAAACAGGCACGCGTGTGGCTGCAGCAGCGGCAGGCGGCGGCCGCGGCGCTGCAGCGCGCATGGCGCTGCCGCGAGGCTCAGCGCCTGTTCGCGCGCCACCGGGCGGCGGCGCTTATACAGGCACACGCCAGGGGCGTCTCGTTGCGGCGGCGCCTGGCGATGCTGGCGGCAACTGCGACGCGGCTGCAGGCGGCGTGGCGCGGGCACGCAGTGCGGCGCGAGTACCAGCAGCAGCGGTCCGCCGTGGTGGCGCTGCAGGCTCACGCGCGCGGCTGGCTCGTGCGGCGGGCGGTGGCGCGCCAGTCCGCCGCGGCCACCGCCATCCAGGCAGGCTGGCGGCGCCATGCAGCGCAGCAGCAGCTGGCCAAGGCGCACCACGCGGTTGTCGCGCTGCAGGCGGCGTGGCGGATGTTCTCGGCCTCCCAGGCTCTGGCGCGGCAGCGACGGGCGGCGCACACGCTGCAGTGCGCCTGGCGCTGCCGCCAGGCCACCCGGATGCTGCAGCGGCACCAGGCGGCGGCAGCAGTGCAGGCGCACTGGCGCGGGTACGTCGCGCGGCGCGCGTTTGCGTCGGCACGTGCGGCCGCCACCGCCATCCAGGCGGGCTGGCGGCGGCACGCGGCGGAGGCGCACCTGCGGCAGGCGCGGACCGCGGCGGTGGCGCTGCAGGCCGGGTGGCGCATGTTTGCTACGTCAAGGGCGCTGGCGGAGCAGCGCCGCGCGGCGCTCACGCTGCAGCGCGCTTGGCGCTGCCAGGCAGCCTCCATGACGTTCGCGCAGCACAAGGCGGCAGCGGCAATACAGGCTGTCTGGCGCGGCCGCGTCGCACGGGTGCAGCTGCAGCAGCAGCGCGCCGCCGCGACCAACATTCAGGCCTGCTGGCGGCGGCACGTGGCGCTAGGCCATTACTTCGGTCTGCAGCGCGCCGCGGTTGCGCTACAGGCGGCCGTGCGCGGCAAGCGGGCGCGTGCGGAACACCAGCAACAGCTGGCGTCGGCGGCGGCGCTGCAGCGCGCGTGGCGCTGCCGCGAGGCGCGGCGCCTGTTGGAGCGCCACCAGGCGGCGGCGCGCATCCAGGCGCACGCAAGGGGGTGGTCCGTGCGGCGGCGGCTGACGATGCTGGCCGCAACGGCGACGCGGCTGCAGGCGGCGTGGCGCGGGTACGCCGCGCGGCGCGAGTACCGGCAGCAGTGGGCGGCGGCGGTGGCGCTGCAGGCGCACACGCGCGGCTGGCTCGTGCGGCGGGCGGTCGCGCGCCAGGCGGCGGCGGCGGTTGTTCTGCAGGCGGCAGCGAGGGGCCGCAGGCAGCGGGCCCTGCTTGCGCAGCAGAGGGCGGCGGCCACCCGCATCCAGGCGGCGTGGCGGGGCCACGAGGCGCGCGGTGCCTACCAGCGGCAGCGCGGCGCGGCGGTGCAAATCCAGGCGTGCGCCCGCATGCTGCCTGTCCGCGCCCGGTTGGTGCAGCTGCGGGCGGCGGCGGTCGTTCTGCAGGCGGCGGCGCGCGGCCGCCAGGCGCGCGTGCTCGCGGAGCGTGCGCGCGCGGCGGTGGAGCTGCAGCGGCGATGGCGCGGCGCGGCGGCGCGGCTGGGGCTGGCGCGGGAGCGGCAGGCGGCGCTGGTGCTGCAGTGCGCGGGGCGCGGGCTGCTGGCGAGGCGCAACGCGCAGGTGGGTGGGCGCACACAAACGGGACCCTTGTCACACTGCTAACGAGCCAAGTCGCCCAGTTCCACGGCATCCCTTTGAAATTCTGAGCCCTTGCAGCCGTTAAACGCTGCGCCGCTACCCCACCAATCTGTGCGGTCGCCGTGGCTGCACGCCGTCAAACTTGCACGGTGTGCCCATGATTTCCCCCTTTACACCTTGGTTTTTCTACACTCCCACATCCCCTCATCCCCCTCCCCTGCCCCTTCCCCCATCCAAAATTCCACCCTCCTCACCGCCCAAAAACGCATCCTCATCTCCACCCGCTTGAATCACAGGCCGTGCGGGACTATCTGCGCAGCGCCAGCGAGTTTCAGGTGGGGACCATTTCTGCATCCCAGGATTGAGGCATGGGCCAGATAGTAAGGGGGGCGGGGTTCATGCAAGACCAACACCATCACGGCGACGCACACAGGCCGCAGAGCAGAAACACAAGAGCCTGTGCGCGGACCGCGGCTCTCGTGCCGCGACTCATCGGGACATGCCCCATGGGCCCACACCGGATTGACACCCGCACCGCCATCCCCTGCAAGCGTTGTCACAAGGCGCCAGCAACCTCACCCCTCCAGCAGACTGGCCCGTGCCGCCAGCGACCTCCAGTGACCTCAAGCAGCCCCCACCACCATCTATTTAAATCCTAAACCCTAAACCGACCCAATCGATCCCATGTCACCCCCCCCCCCAAAAAAAATCCAGGCCATGCTCATGGAGCTCCACAACCGCACAACAGCCGCCACCACGATCCAGTCAGCGTGGCGCGCGCGCGTGGAGCGCCACGCGTTCGCGCCGGCCTGGGACTCGCACCAGCGCGCCAAGCGCGAGGCCGCGGCCGCGGCGGCGATCCAGCTGGTGGGTGGGGAGGCGCTGTGGATGTCACGGGGCGGGGTCTGCCTGAGCTGCCTTGCAGCAATGGGATGCCTCGAAATGAGAAGCGGTTCAGGAAGCAGATGTCCACCGCATTTCTCTACGTTCAAGATGTTGATGTCAGGCACCTTGATATTGCCTGCGCCAAGCCTGTGGAGCCCTTCAAACCTGAATTTGCAACCTCGCATGCGTCATGATCGCAGGCCTGGCGGGCGCGGCGCTTCCGGTCGATGGTGGCCGCCCGCGTCGCTGCGCGCGCCACGATCTCGCGCCACGTCCCCGCCCTCCGCGCCCGCCTCGCGCTGCTGCGCGCGCGCCGCGCGGCGGTAGCACTGCAGCACGCGTGGCGGCAGCAGGCCCTCCGTCACGCGCGCGCGGCGCTCGCGCTGCAGTGCGCCGCGCGCGGCTGGCTCGCGCGCCGCGCGGCTCGGCGCGTCGTCGGCGCGGCCGTCCGCATCCAGGCGGCGTGGCGCGGCCACCGCGTGCGGCGCGGCGCGGGGCGCAGCGGGCGGGAGGCTCGGAGGCGGCTGGAGGCCGCGGCGGCGGCGGCGGAGGGGGCGCCGCACAGGCGCATCGGCGCGCGCGCGAGGGAGGCGCTCAAGGTCCTGCTGGCCAGCAAGTCGTGCGCGCAGGTGCGCGCGGGCGGGCCCAGGGGACCCACCGGCCGCGAGCCAGTTTGCTCCAGGGCTGGGGGCTTGGTTAATACAGGATTTTATTGGTGTCGGCGTCTGGAGCAAGGGTGACCTCGCCTTGCAACTTCACAAGCCTAGCCATTTTTCAGACAGCACTGCCTCCTTTTGCACAAGCAATCTTTGTCTCAACACAAACAAGTGATTACCGTTCTAAAGTTGCATTGTTGATTCGAATCCTCCACCACACAACGCCCACTTGACAACCTGGGACTGCCCTACCGCCAGGTCATCACCGCCGTGGCGGCCATGGAGTTCAGCACCCGCTACAGCAAAGAGTGCTGCACCCTCATCGCCGAGAGCGGCGGCGTCGCCGCGCTGCTGCAGTTCATGCGCGGCTGCAACCGGTCAAAGCCGCACGCGGAGATGCTGCGGCTGGCGCTGGCGGTGCTGCACAACTGTGCGCGGTGGCGGGAGCTGGCGCCGCCGGTGCTGGCGGCGCCGGAGTGCGTGGCGGTGCTGAGCGAGAGGATGCAGATGTTCAGGGACATGGAGGTGGGTGGGGCTGTGTGTTGTATGTGGAAGGGTGTGAGTGTGGGTCCACAGAATGTGTGTATGTATGTGTGTGTGTGTGTGTGTGTGCCGGGGCGGGCTAAGGCAGGCGAAGCTGGGGCGGCAGGTCCACAGATAGCAGCGCTCTTCCACGGGCCTGGCTGAACGCCAGCCACAAGCCCCAGCCCAGGCCCCGGCGCGCGTAGTCACCCGCTCTAGGGATCCCTAGCCAGCCTGCTAGGATGCAGCCAATGCCTCATATCTTGAGACCTCGAAGCAAACAAGCCAACATGGCCCCCCCCCTTCCCCCCAAGGACATCTTCCTGCTGGTGGTGGGCCTGCTGGCTCGCCTGGCCTCCACCGACGCCGGCGCCCTCGCGGTCGCGGCCGACGCGGGGCCGGCGTTCCTGCGGCAGTGGGAGGGCGTGGCTGCCATCATAGCGCGCAAGCTGGACATGGAGCGAAAGTACATCGCGCGGCTCGAGGGTGGGTTGGGATGGGATGGGGTGCGAAGGGAGACGGGCCGGGGATAGACGGATGAGGGGTGAATGAACCGCAGAGCGGGACCCGTCTGCGGCGACTGCGTGCGTGCGCGTGGCAGCGGGTCGGGGTGTCGACCGTTTTGGCGGCATCCAAGAGAGGTCGCTCAAACTTTGTTCAGAAGGCGAGGGAAAGAGCCGGATTGCTTGGCAAGCGGGGTGCTGGTCAACTGTAATCAAGAGCACCCTTGTTCCTGAAATGGAGCTCCCCGCTTCACCAGTCTGCGGCCCCACGCTGACCATCATACCACCGCCTCGTCCTGCCCCGCAACCCTCCTCTTTGCCCTCGCCTGCAGGCCAGAAGGGCAGCGACGCGTCCGCCCGCGAGGCGACCCGCAAGATGGTCGCGGCCGCCAAGCAGCTCGAGGCGCTGCAGCAGCTGGTGCGGCGTGTGACGGACGCGGGGGAGCGCGGCGGCATTACCATGGTGCACCAGCAGCCCACAGCGGGCGGCGGCGGCGGCGGCGGCGGCGGCGGCGGCGGGGAGTTTGGATTTGGAGAGCTGCCGCCGCTGGACGCTATGGCGCACCCGGAGGCACACGCAGGCGGGGGCGGCGGCGGGGCCGGCCACGGCGGCGGGGGCGGCGGGGCGGCGTCGGCTTGGAAGCCGAAGAATACAATCGTGCGGGGCGTGTTCAGGGACATGGGGGCAGCCGCGGCGGCGGCGGCGGCGGCAGCGGCGGCGCAGCAGCAGCAGCAGCAGGCGGCGGCGGGCGACAAGGCGGGGCAGCAGGACCAGCAGCCGCGCCGGCGGGTGTAAGGCTGCAGTTGGTGGGGGCGTTGCTGCGCTGTGGAGGCCGCAAGGCTGTGGTGCGTTGACGTTGGTGGTGCACCCCGCCGCTGGGCGTGCGTGTGCATGATACTCTAGATTCACATACCGCTTGTCCTGTAATAACACTTGAGCCCTCGTTCGTGGGCCACAGGCGCAAGGATCATGTGAGTAGTGCACAGCTCGCTCGAGGTGGCACGGTTGTTGGGGTGACAACCGATCTCCGCTCGTGTCTGTGGGTGCGAGCTCGGCCCTTGCGGTGTGCACAGGCGCAGGGGCGGTGGGCGGCGCCGCCCTCGCTGCGGGAGCCCTGTTGCGCAAGCGGCGGCCCCTCAGGCCAGCTGCGGGACCCGGCAGGCGCCGCGCCCCCCGCACGATCACCTGCGGGGGCGGAGCCAGGAGCCCTGCCAGGGGCCGCGCGCGCGGCGGCCTGGGGACGCGTGGCGCTGGCGCGCCTCACTCCTCGCAGCTGGGGCTGTATAATTGTCTCAGGAAAGCAAAGATCTCAACGCCCGTTGGTTTGTCCTGACAGGAAAATTGCAGGGGGCCATCAGCACCCAAAACTTGTCCAAAATACAGCACCAAGCTTGTCCATCATCTGGTGCGGCAGGCTGGGGATGGCCCGTCTGCTAAAGGATGTTGCCAACAGCATGCATTAAGTGGTTACCTGAGCCCTGGCAGCCTGAAAGTGGTGGATGAGCTGTGCGGCGCTTCCTACCGTACGCAGACGAGGTTGTGACGCACGAGGGATGGGAGGGGGCTGAGGTCGCAGCAGGATGCCAAACAGTCGCGGTTTGGAACCTGAATGCAGCCTTAACACGGAATTGGTACATACTTTCGGCCACCAAGAGAACGCAGGCCGAGAGGCTGACCCCGACGCATGCTTCGATCTCGACGCCCTTGAAGCATTGGCAGCGCCTTGCGCGTGTGAAGCATCGAAATCCGTGATCCCGACAGATTCCCGCTCAACGTGACCAAGGCAGTCTGCAGCGATGCGTGACGTGCTGGCGCCCGCTGCAACACGGCGTAGCGATTGCAGCATCGCCGCGGACCAGGGGGCGACCGAGGATGCGGAAGGGCCCTCCCCCATGCGGCCCAGCGCTGGCAGATTGTGGCCCTTGCTGCATGGCGCAGGGCTGAACAAGGACAGCCCTGGCAGCGGGCAACCTGCTGCCGCGCACCAGACGCGACGCTCACGCGCGGCGCCGTGGCGCAGCGGCGCACGCGTGGCGGCCGCAGCGGCCCCGAGGGCGGCGCCGCGGCGTGGCGGCAGCAGCCCCTTGGCTCTTGGGACACCAGCGGCTACGGGAGCGGCGGTGGTGGTGACTGTGACAGCAGCGCTGACGATTACTGCACAGAGGACGAGCACGGC